CTTTAAAAATGAAATAATTATTTGTGGTGACATGAATGTTAATTATTTAGAAGAGTCTAGCAGGGTTAAACAATTAAATGCTCTTTTGAAAACCTTTAATTTAGACAATGTGGTAACTTTTCCTACCAGAATTAGCAGACATTCTAGTACTTCCATTGATACTGTGTTCGCTGATACCACTAGATTTAAGAATATTTTTGTATCGCCTTCACATAATGGATTGTCTGACCACGAAGGTCTAGCACTTACCATTGACCTTCCTTTTACATTAATAAGAAAATATCAGTCCTATTCATATAGGAAAATTAATACATACACTGTTGCTGACTTTTTAAATCAATTAAGCTATGAAACTTGGGACACTGTTTTTTCTACTGATAATGTTAATGATATGTTCAATTCATTTTTAGACACATATTTGAAAATTTTTCATTCTAGCTTTCCTCTTAAGAGTGTTTGTGCTAATAATAAGAATAAAAAAAAAATGGGTTACCCTAGGTATTGCAACTTCCTGTAAACGGAAAAGAGAACTCTACATAGCATGTAGAGATGGTAATAATCCGGATCTTAAAAACTATTATAACAAATATTGTAAAATTTTATCAGCTGTTATTAAAGAATCAAAAAAGCTAAACTACGCTTATAAAATCAATAAATCCCTGAATAAGAATAAAACTATATGGGACATAATTAAACTTGAAACAAATAGAACTAGTAGTGCAGATAAGGCTATAACTTTAAATATTGATGGGATCTCAATCACCAACCAACATGTGATAGCCAATGAATTTAATAAATATTTTCTATCCATAGCTAAAAATATTAATATTGATCATAATGACCCTAAATCTCAGAAATTAGATGACATTACTCCCTTGCATTATTTATTGCAGTCTTTTAAGACTCCCTTTCCAAACATTAACCTAAAGTTCTTATCCTCCAATGACGTTGAAAAGGTAATAAAATCTCTTAAGACTAAAAATTCGTTTGGATACGATGAAATATCAACCAAATTATTAAAAATTAGTTCACCTTTTATTAGTTCGCCCCTAACCCATATTTGTAATAAATCGATATCTTTAGGAATCTTTCCGGATCGCTTGAAATATGCAGTTGTCAAGCCCCTTTTTAAGAAGGGAAATAAATCTACTATTTCCAACTACAGACCTATATCTATTTTAAGCTCATTTTCAAAAGTAATTGAAAAGGTCTTGTACGATCAACTTCTGGATCATCTTAAGAAATATAATATTTTAGCAGATGAACAATTTGGGTTTAGAGAGGATTCCTCAACCAATAAAGCCATTTACAAATTAATTAATGAATCCTTGCAAGCTTTAAATAGTAAACTTCCAATAGGTTGTATATTCTTTGACCTTGAGAAGGCATTTGATTGTTTGAATCATGATATTTTATTGTCTAAACTGCAATTCTATGGTATAAATGGTAAAGCTAAAAAATGGTTTGAATCATATCTTAACAATAGATATCAGAGAATTCAAGTTTGTGAAAAAGATTCTAATCAAACTACCCATTCTTCTTGGGGAAAAATAACTGATGGTGTTCCTCAAGGCTCGGTTTTAGGCCCGTTGCTGTTTCTCATTTATATCAACGATCTGCCCAAAATCGTAATTAACAATGCTATATCCATTTTGTTTGCCGACGATACAAGCGTATTAATTAAAGGTTCAAATTCAGAAAATCTCCATATTAATATGAATAATGTTTTTAATCATTTATATAAGTGGTTTAGGACAAATTTGCTTTCAATAAATATTAATAAAACTCATAGTATGCAGTTTAAAACCAAAAATAAACTCACAACCGACGTAGATATTGTTTGTAACAATCGTCCAGTAACCACTGTGTCAAATATAAAGTTTCTTGGTATAAACATAATGGATACACTCAACTGGAGTTCACATGTGGAATGTATAATCCCAAAACTTACCTCAGCATGTTATATGATGAGAAGTATTAAACCATACTTGCCTCTAAAAACTTTGAAAACAATTTACTACTCTTATTTTGGCTCTGTTATGAACTATGGTCTTTGCTTTTGGGGAGTCTCGCCTCATAGTATAAAAGTATTTAGAATGCAGAAGAAGATAATTAGAATTATGATCGGCTGTAATAGTAGAGTTTCATGTAGAGATCTCTTTCGGAAATTGGAAATTTTGCCTTTGGCTTCACAGTATATTTTTTCACTCATGCTCTTTGTGGTTAATAATAAAAGTCTCTTTATTCCAAATTCACTAAATCATAATATAAATACAAGACATATTACAAATTTCTATCAACCCATAGCAAATTTTACGGTATATCAAAAGGGAGTGTATTATATGGGCATAAAAATTTATAATAATCTTCCTTCTTATATAAAAGAAGAGTCACTCAACCCTAAGAAGTTCAAAATTTGTTTAAAGCGTTTTCTTTATCTTCATCATTTTTATTCTGTGGAAGAATATTTCCAATATAAATCATTATAAGTTAATGATTATGCATTCACTAGAATCACCTGTTGATCATCCAGTTTTTTATTAGTATTATTCTAGTCATGATTCTACTATTCTAGTCTAGTCACCTAAGCAATTTCTGTGATATGTTCAAACTGACATTGTTTAAATTTAAACTGCATGTTTTATTAAAGTAACTTATATGACTGGAATCTATTTAATTCTACATGTTTTGTTTCAATTTTTGTATTTTATACTTTTTTATTTATGTATTTGGTTCTTGCTCTATTAATTTTAAGAATAATCACTGTATGGACATGTCCTACATCTCACTTGTATTGTGGACCCATGGAACAAAAAATAAATGAATGAATGAATGAATATGTAACACATTTGAGAAAAACATTTTTTTTTTTCATATTTCTACCTTGAAATTGCACTATTTCAGGGAAATGGTAAGCAAATAATATGCAGTGGAAAGGTCAATTATTTCTTTCATATTAACATGATATTGCACATATATGATATGTATACTTCACTAGTAACAAATGTAAAGTATTTAATTAATTTAATTTAAGTAATTAATTAATTATAATTTCAAAGCTTTGTTTATTTCCTCAGGCCTTTAGATTCAATCTATGCTCACATTATCCTTCTGTAAACAATACACAACTCTTCTAGGTAGGCCTGTTCTTCAAAATTCACCAGGGTTAACACATTTATGCTAATACAGACTAACACAATTTATAGGGGAATAATAAGTCGGGAAACTCACTTCAAATACAGAGTAAATGTACATTTAAAGAACAATTATTACACACGTCAATCTCTTAATACAATGCAAATTTATAGCATGGTAATAAAAGGCATCTGTCCTTATACGATTATTATAACCCGTCAACATTACAAAACTGTACTATTCTGCATTCATTTCAAATGGATTTTTTAAGAACATCAGTACTCGAACTACAAATAGTATTGAATGGTAGGATGATTAGTGCACAAAGAGTTGGAAAGGATGAGGAATGAAGTGGTTGTGACCTCATCTGAGACACTAGCACTGAATTTTCCTGGAGGGACTAACAAACACCATAAGAACCTCATTTAAGGATAGCTAGTCAGCAGTTGTGACACTTGAATCTGGGACCTCCTAAATAAAAATAATGAATACTACCAACCTGCCTGACTTTCTGTGCTCACTACAACAAGTCACTCATTAAACAAAGTAGAAAGCAAGTANAATGTTCTCATGGTATTGACTGAATATGGTGTGATATATAAAAGACTGTGAGAAGTGACAGCCTTGATATACTATATAATGAACTGTAAGGTCTCGTGCAGGCACAAGGTAGCACAGCTGATTGAAGCACTATGCTACGAGCTGGAAGGTCATGGGTTTGATTCCTGATGAGGTCACTGGATTTTTCGCGATTGACCTATCCTTCCAGCCGCACTATGGCCCTGGGGTCAATGCAGCCTCTAACAGAAATGAGTACCAGGAATCTTCCTGGCGGTAAAGGACAGCTGACAACTTCACTGCCATCTAAAAGCCAACTGTCTAGAAAATGTGCGAGCCGTGACATTCCACAACCCTGTGCGCCTCCATTGCCTGTTACAGGGATAGCTTTACCTTACCTTACCTGATTCTTAATTAACATTTGGGAAAACATTCTTAGTTTCTGTGATTTATATTATGACAATGTCAGTATCTAGACTGCATAGCATTAAATGATAGGATTGATATATTATGAACTGGAAAGGATTTGGAAGGAAATGATCATGGCCTTGAGGTACCAGAATTTCCCTGGAGGGACTGTGAAGAACCATGAAAATCTTGAGCCAGGTTGGCCAGTGCCCTGGCTGAGTACAAACCAGGGACATCACATATATAAATACAGAGTATTACTGCTACACCAACCTGCTTGTTTGAATTGTGTTGTCAGACTAATATATTCATATTTGACATGAAATATACCAGTAACAAAGTATCTTGTGGACAAGTGGATTCCATCTCATTCACAACTAAACAGAAACATTACTCTGAAACATAAAATACAAATGCTGGGTTTAACGTCCTAATGGCAGAGACTATAGAGTGTCTCTGAGTAACAAAACCATTCAGTTTGGTGACAGCCAGATATTCTGAGGTATATAACATGTCCATCTTCAGCTTGCTTCCTGCTTCTGATGGTTTCTTGCTTAGCCAACTCTTCAGCCCTGAAAACTTATAACCTAAGTTCCTCCAAAACATCATGGCCTCTTCAAACTATACAGCATTACAACCCAGAACACCATACTCCAAAGTACAAATGTTCACCACTAAATATGGGTAGGAGCAAAATCCCCACTTATCAATATGAGTATTTACAAAGTGATGATTTGTACAGAATCTCTGGAAAAAGTCACTATATTTAGGCCTAACTAAAATCTACATCACACAAACATCCATCTTCATTAATGTATACATATAATCAACATATGTAGCACAGGATATTGTAACAAAGCTATATACAATACAAGGGTAATTATTAGTACTTGTGAAGGCTGCAGGTCAGGTTAGCATAAATCAGGTTTCATGTGGTAGCTGCAGCGTGGCAAAATTATGGGAACTTATTTCAGCAAATGCTGTCCTTAACTGTAAGCAATACTATATTATTATGTCACTGTCCAGCAAACATCTGTATTTCCTTATCTGAATGGTGAACAGCATGTAAACTGTATCATGTGTTTCAATTCCTGTACTAAATTTTATTCCAATGAAATTTTAAGGAAGAGTAAAACAAGGATACAAAATGGGAAGAAAAGAAGTCAACATAATATGCTCTGCAGATGACAGATTGTAGACAAGGAAGATAACCTTCAAATCAGCTACCAATCTATGGAATCAAAACTGCCATAGATGAAACTAATCAATGGTAATTATAAAGAAACATCATGTTGTAAATTAGAAATTCAATATACCATAATTAAACTGATTATGAGTTTTCACCATTTAGGATATGCGATAACTAATAACATAATTTTACAAACAGAAATCAGATGCCAAGCAAATAAAGAAAAGAGAACATCTGGATATTTAAATGATATAATACGGAATAATAAACACTTACAAAGGCCAAAAGAAAGAACATTCACTATCACTTGGCCCATAATGACTTATGCAGCAGAAACAAGACCAGATACCCCCAATTATGGAAACAACTTTGATGAGAACACTGAGAAAAATAGTGAGAGATGAATGGAATGAGCAAGTTTCAAGAAAGGCACCTGACAAAACCATAAAAACTGTAAGAGACTACTTTCCTATAGGTAGACACAGCCCTGGCAAACTCCATGAAAGATTGAGTGACATATTCTGGAAACAACAGCCTGACTTAAAGAAAAGACGAAATTTTAAGTTATAAACAATTACTATGTATCAGTTCACTACAATGGTGTCAGTTTTCAAATGTGTGTCATGTATGATTAACTGCAAATACAGTATAATTTAAAAAACTATATGCAGTAACAGAAACATGAAATTTAAATGGGACAAAAGAAAAAACACAGTACCATTACAGACATATAAATACATATGTGCTTCATGCAATTCTCAACCCTCAATTAGGGGAATGAGAAATAACTTTTAATTTTAAATTTAAATACATGGCACTCGATGACTTAGTCTGGTTCTGTCACTGACAATAATGACATGAAGCAGCTTATATAACTTAATACTCACTTGACTGTGCTACTAAGGTTGATTAAAAGTCTTACTGCAAAATTCTCAGAAATTTATAAGATGTGAGGTTTTCATGGCTCTACAGATTCATATTGTGGTTTTCTGTGTAGGTGGGTACCAACATCTAACAGGAATATATTGCCTCCACCTTCCTACAAATGGTGTCAACTTATCTGCATTTATTTATAAGGAGTCTGACAACACTAGCAGTAACCCAGACTAAAAAGAGCTGAATATTCAGATGACAGCGAATAATGAACTGGAAAGAATTTAAAAATCAGTCATTTGCTAATTTAAGTTACTCTCCTGGCATTTGCTTGGAGGGACAGATGAAAAGTGCAAAAATATGTCAGCAGAGTCACTGTTCCAGCCGAGACAGATTTAAACTGGCTACCTTCTGAATAGAAGACAGAAGCATTATTGTGTAAGGCACCTTGCTTGGTAAGATGATGTCTTTCCTTTTGTGGGCTCTTTTATGATGCTGTCAGACTACAGAGCATCAAATGGTAAGGTGACTGATGCACTGGAAAGGATCTGGCAGGAAGTGATCATGGGCTATCAAGGTACTATTGCAGGACTTGCCTGGAGGGACTGAGGTAACTGTGTCCCTACAGAGATTTGAACTAACCATCTCCAAAATACAAGTCTAGGGTGTTAACAGTATGCCAACCTGCTTAGTAAAAGATAGTGTCACAACCCAGGAACCCACAATATGTAACTTAAAGTTTTTCTATCACTACTATTAGAATGCTTATATTCCTTGTACTATGCATTTAAAATGGTCTTCCTCTTCTGTCATGGCATTCTGTTGCTGCCTCACTATTGCAGTTTGTGTCAAGGCTAGGATACAGTGACAATCTCAGATCAGAACTGCATCACTCTGGAAACAAACATAACGTAAACACTACAAACCAGATTGGCATGGCAGCTTTCCAGCTTTCCACACATCAGAGATGGCTGTAAATACAAACAAGAAATCACTTTACAGAAATAAATTTGTATGTTGTCTTTTTATTTCAAGCAGCATGATAGACAACACATACATAATCTTCCTTTAGTATTTCGTAAGCACTGTGGCTGCATAAGTTAAGTACTGTAACACAGTGTAATGCTGTCTTATATTTCCATCAGCACAACTTTTGTATACATGCATTATACATTAATCATGTACTACGTGTTTTGACCTTTCAGCCATCATAAATTGTGCACAATCACAGCTCACCAGTGCAGCCAACAATGAATGTGCATACCTGATGATAGCTGAAAGTCTGAAACCTGTAGTAGATATTGTATTTAAGCATCGTGTTGCATTAATATACTCTTCATTCACACACTGCACTTCTGCCCACAATACAACCCATTTACTGCCTACCTCTCCTTCTCACTACGTGGTGGTTATACGGCCATCATCAGGTGCCTCTATTTGCTAAAACTGTTTCACTGTGTAGTATGTGCAACTTCTTCACATGTGAATGTGATATCCCCCACTTAAAATAAAATGTACCCTATCAAAAATCATTAATAATCAAATCAAATTTAATTAAAATTTCAATATTTTTGTTTGGGGGCTGTCATCTTTCTATCTGATTATCAGATAGATGTGTACATGTAGTTCCCAATCGTGTTGGTGCAGTATGTGAAACATGTAAAGAATATATTATTATTGTTAATACTGTAAGCGGCCTCCGTAGTCTAGGGGTAACGTTCCCACCTCATGACTCAAGGTATGCGGGTTCAAAAACCTGGCGGAGGTCGTGGAATTTTTAAGGGCAGAAAAATTCAGGGAACAAGTCCTCCGGGAGGGACTTTAAGCCGTGGGTCCCGTGTCGTAGATTTATGGCACGTAAAAGAACCTTATGTCTCTAGGAGACCTCTGAGCAAAATTAGGCCAAGTTTCCTGCCCAACTAGTTTCCAATTCCTCTGGTAGATGGGGGAAGTATCAGGTACCACTGCCAGAAGAGGGGGGACCTCTCTGACAGAAAGGGACTAAAGTATTAGATACCACTGCCAAGTAGAAGGTAGAAACCTTGCTGGCAGAAAGGGACTAGGAACCCCTGCCAGAGGAGGGACGACCTCGCTGACAGAAAGGGACTAACTATTAGATACCACTGCCAGTAAGAGGTTGGAACCTTGCTGGCAGAAAGGGGCTGATAGTAAGCACCAGTACCGGTAGGGTATGGACACAACAGAAATTAAAGGGGGACGCACAATGGACCAGTAACCGGTCTAAGTGCATGGGGAAACCCACGCCCTCAATACAGAATACAGAATAATACTGTTATATTTTGTTTTTCCTGTGTTAGTTTATTTCTTTGTATTCATGTATGCCCCTTTGACTGTGTTCTCCACCCTGCCTGTTAGTAGCATTGTTTTCACTCCATGTATATAGACCTCATGAATATTCAATGTGCTTAATCCTGCTTTATAACATGACTGGGGGTGCGTGTGTTGCTATCTTGTGTAAAACTCATGCCATGTATTGAATATGGGATTACGTGTGTTGATATATGTGTCATTCATACACACATGCCTTTAGTGACTCTATAAATGTGATACCTTACCAAGGTATTCAAATGCTTATTGGTCTAATGGGTGTGTTTAGTTTGAGTAGCTTTATCGTGGCATGTAGTTTTGGGGCTGTGGGGTTCATGATCATGTATTTCCTTCCATCTTCTTTTTGTACGATGTTATTACATTGTCTTAGTGTTTGTTCTATAATTTGTTGGTACTGTTGGGTTGGGTTGTTTATCTTTATAAAATGATTATCTTGTATAAAACTGTTAATTGTGGGCTTGTTTCTTATGTTTATTATTTGTTTCCATCTTTCTTTATTTTTCTTATTGCCTACTTTATTTTTCCAACTAATATCATTTATGTTTCTCACAACTTCATGTCTATAGTAATTTTGTTCTGTTATGTCAAGATTACTTATTGCTGTCTCAGCTTCAAGGGTAATGTTTCAATCCATTTTTAATCTACATCATTACAACACTTAAAGTGTCTTCTGCTTAGATATTCAGACAGGTTCAGCAGAAAAGGAAACCATTATCATTTCTTGTGTTATTAAACCCTGTGCAGAGTTGTATAGTAAATATGAATTAGGAAGTTTCTATCCTTAATTTTACAGCAAAATCTCCTGGCAGAATTTTCATGCAATATTTGGGGAATTGATCAAATATGCAATCTCAAGCTGGAGGGCTGCTGCTGCTGGAAACTGCTTATTTGATCTATTCACAGCTATTCTGCATATCTGGAGGCCATCTGCAATCTGATAATGCACCATGCGGTGGTGGCAAGGGATCCACTTATCATGGAAGTTTAAGCATAATGATTAGAAATTATTCAAACTGTATCACAAGTCCAAACAGTCTTCCACAGCATGCCAAACACTTATAAAACAGCTAGAAACTTCTGTCATGTTCACACTGCTGACATTCTGGGTATATAGGACAGTAAGTAAGTACTCAGCACACTGTACAACAGTTAGCTGCTCACATGTGAAATGTTAACTAAGGGCTCTCCACTGCACCATTCCTCAGTTACAGCAACAGAACTGGGCAAAAACTATTTCTAGGCTAACTAAAATACTCTGCAAATAACCTGCCTGAGTGTCATGATCATATAATCTCATGTGAACTGCTCTGGGATGAAATCTCAGCATCTGCCATGCAAAACCAATGAGACCTGTGATTAATACGCACTATCTTCTTCTTTGCATCTTCTCTTCAAGGAATTTAACAACTAAAAAAATTTAAACATGAGATATTACTGTCTTAAATATAAATTATGAATCTAAAAGGTGGGAACAAAACAATGAAGGCCAGCATTTGAATAGATGTTGGCCTTTTTCTTATTAACACACACACCCACTCTGTGGTTTTGGTCTGCAAGCGAACTATAGCGACCGAATGACCACGACTTGTTGGCAAAGTTAGTGCCAACTTTAGACGATATGGGGTGTTGCGTGGTCAGCGCCATGAATCCCCATGGCTGTTAATTTCGGTTTTCTAGACCATTTCTTATTAACAGCGAAAATAATAAATTTCATACTTTTAATTTCTGGCTCGGAGTGTAAGGCACATTACTATAAATTGAAATTGCAGCCACTGCAGCGAGTCAGGCTCTTCCCTTCGCCAAGCTGCACTGTGTCTTCAGTTGAACCTTCAGGATATGGACGGCCCTCATGTCTCCTCTGTAACATCAACAGGAACTGATCAGTGGTTCACATGGACAGCACTGTAATTAGAATATCTAGTCCCCAACTAAAGTACAGTGTAGCAAACTAAAACACAACCTGGCCTGCTTATAGTAGCAAAATACTTCTACACTACAGCAATTTTTCATACTGTTACAACTATTATTCCTCTAACGCATATTTTAATGTTATATATGTACCAATGTTCCAATTTTCATGAATGGATGCATTCCATGCACACACATGCCTACAGTTGATGGGAGGAGTCATAAAGTAAATTTTCATAAAATTTTGAAATTACATTTAAAATGCAGACAAGGATAAGGGATACACAAATTAGTCTCTAAAAGGCAGTAATGGACCCCAGTTATTTTAAATGAACTGAAAGGAATATTTAATTACACCACAACAGCTCACCCAAATTCTGAGATTGACTACTCATACATATGATAACTGAACTAGACCAGGTACAATGTAAAGTCATCCATGAGCTTAATTAAGCACCATGCTGTGAAGATGTATGGGGAAATGAAGATGTAGCTCTACCATTCTTAACCTCAGCACTAGGTGGGGGTGAGTGGGCAGCTTCATACCCCAGCCCCTTTACCCCCAGGAAGAGCCCATGGTACCCACTGTATTCGAGGCTCGACTGTCCCAGTGCAGGTCCGGATATTGTGGCGTATTTGCTCTATGCAGGAACTGTTGAGCCACAGAGGCCTCAGGGCATGCACACAATGGGAGAGTTGCGGATTGTATCGGCACATCGCTAGGTGACAGCTCTGTGGACGCTTGGATTGTGCAACAGTGAGTATGGGTTACATGACCTCTGCGTTTCCGTAAGTGATGTCACATACACCCACCCACAGAGCTCGTTGCTATGCAATGCTCAGTAACCACTCCACACTAGGCTGCAACGTCACACAACAGTGAAGCAAGGTGTGTTTTCCACTAGTCTGATTGAGGGTTTATAGGAGAAACTGGAATTCCTAAGAAGTCAGTTGGAGTCAATTGAAGTCAGATACGTGTTACAAGAGAAGCATGTGAATGGAATACAGAATATACAGGAGGTCAGCCTGTGAAGTGTGATTTGGAAGACTTTGTGTGTGCTGTGGTGCACAGATATCTGGAGTGAACTGAAGTGCTAGTCCCTGTATTTTAATTATATTTCCAGGAGAGGACTAGTATGTATGCGTGCAACACTGAATTATGAAGTGTGTGTAAATCAGCAATAGCACTGTATTTAAGTGTAATTAAGAGAGAGTTTGTAACCAAGTGCTAATAAATCCAATCATCCAAACTAGAACCCGTCATTTCGTCATGCGTACCATCCTACACATGACAGTATTTTGAACTAACTAAAACAAACTTCATGGAGCCGATCCCTTCCTGAGAAACTGCCAGATGTGCAGCTACTCAAGAACTTCCCGTCATTTTACAGAACTCAAAGGTTCATTACCATAATGTTGTAGTGGAAGAACCACACGCAAGTTTTAATTATGACACATAAGATGAATAATCTTAACAAGTTTTGGTGTGTGTAAATTTATTATAGTTGACAAATACGCACTTTTTAAATACTTTTTAAATAATTTTATAAAGGCAAGCAATGAAATAGATTAGCGTAATTAGGGCACCTGATGATGGCACTATGTTTCCGAAACATGTCGTGAAGTAACAGGTGAAATTGAGAAGATGGCAACTGTATACATATCATGGAAGATTCATTACCATGTTCACAAGAGCTCTCCACTGGTCCCAATCCTAAGCCAGATCAATCTACTCCATATCACCCCTCCTATGTCTCTCTAAGATCCATTTTGACATTATCCACCTACCTATGTTAGTGGTCTCTTTTCTTTTGACTTTCCCACTGAAATCAATCTATCTCCCCCCCACCCTCTCTCTCACGCACACACATGTACAAAGTAGCAATGGTAAAAGCAAAGCACAACTGAGTCAATAATGTAATACAATTAATTAGCAGTAATCACCCACCTTGAGTTCCGTGGCCAAACACATAAAAGCGTCATCAATATTGGTGTTTTCTTTTGCTGAAGCTTCAAGAACAAACAAGATCTCTGGAATGTATTCACACATTGCTTCTGCTTCAGCAAATTCTACCTCCCTTAAACTTTCCAGATCACATTTATTGCCTAGAAAAAAGAACAATACATGTTCTTAACACATAAAGGACCGGTCGCATTATACCATGCTTTTTGCTTTTAAACGTGGTGGACCGGTCACATGATATCATGATTCTTGGACACGTTAGGTTGCAACACACTATACCTGGCTCTGTTGTCATGCAGCTGCATGACTACTGCATAGGAATGTTTGCTTAGTGTTCACTAACATGACCTCACTGTTATCTTAACCCATTCCAAAGGAAAATGTCTTTCGTAGGTCTTCAAGCTGTATGTACCAGCCAGTAAGTTAGTAATGGAATATGGATCAAGGACGAATTCTTCTCCAATGAGCTAGCTTACGTGCCTTGTGTGAGACGCGTAGTGATGGTGACTCAGACAGTGGCAGTGACAGGGGACAACAAAGAATTGTGGCCACAGAGTGTAAAAGTGACAGTAGCTCTGACGAAAATGCGGGTAGTAACATTGCGGGGACAGCAAAAAAAAAAAAACACACACACACACATACAAAAATCTAAGCCCTGATTCAAAATTGAAATACAAAGCATTTCTGATGAATGTGGCAAAGGCCTGGGCTACAGACCAGATGGTCTACCACCAGATGGTGGTGGCAGAACCAGAGTCAGACACAGACTTAGTGTAACCGGGCCAATCAACTCCCACCCCAAGCAGGCCTCATGTGGACCACCCAGGGCAACTCTCGGGTGATACGAGGAAACATACCCTCGTGAAAATCTTGAAGAGTGAACATTCCAAGTGGAAGCATCCTTCTAGGCAATGACGTGTTTGCATAGTTCATAAAAAAAAGGAGTATGACTGTCTACATTGCAAGTTCTGTGTAATGCCACTTCACAAAGGGGAATGTTTCCAGAAATATCACACTCTCAAGCACTTCTAGGCTCATTGGTAAGTATTCTCCAAAAATTTTAGTTCATAAAATTAATTAGGAGATTTTATATTAATTTTTAAAGTGAACACTGCACATGTTAGGAGAGTAGGTTTAATAATGCCGGTCCTCAGGGTGATTTAAATATTTAAATCACCAGTCCACAAAGTGTTAAGTATGAGGGACCCTATGGCAGAGTACCTTTCTTTCAAGCTTGTTAGCAACTCAGCTGCCAAGAAGTTCTCTGCTTTTACAGAATCTGAAGGTGTTTCTGTAATAGGTTTTATCATGCATCCAACAAATACACATAACTGACACACTATTCCCCATACATTCCACATAAGCGGCACTTTACTATACCCAAACTATGACACAATTGTAAAGGATCTATCAGTTATGCTTATATTACAATTTTTTCCTGCATTCTGATAAGACATGAAAACATTACCATTTTCTGGTTTATCTCCTACAAGCATGACAATCTAAGACTGTATTCCAATTGCAATCAGATAATCTAATGAAGATGAACTAATGGTAGCCTCTACTTCAAGATAAGACTATATCTTTCATTGTATATTACAAAATGTTTATGCTTGAAGTGCCCAAATTTACATATGAAACACACATTTTAATTATTATATGAATACGGTGGCTAAAATTTCACCTACCGACAAGAATTAGCAGGACATTTGAGGCAGTATATCTTCGGACTTCTTCAATCCATCTTTGAAGACTAAGAAATGATGATCGCTTTGTTATATCATACACTGCAAGACAGAAAATGAAACTGCATTGCTTAACACATATGTAGGAACAAATTGCGGTAATTATGGTCTGGAATGTGATCACATATATAATTTGATAGATAGGTACCAACGTTTCAGAGGAACCTGCCAACTGCACTAAAAAGTGAGATAACAACAGCAAAAGTAGTGTGTGATATAAGGAAGGGAGGGCTGAGCCCAGAGCTAAGACTGACTCAAGTGTAACTGGTAGGACTGTTTGTCATGAGTAACTTTACATCCAACTTCACCAGTAAGGTTCAAATAAATGCCTTGGTGCATTTCAAGATCAGAGTTCCTGCTAATGGCCAATTGTATTATGAATGAATGATACATTTAAACTGATCTCTCACTTTTGATTTGGTTCATCCAGGTCCGTCACACTAGCAATATTATAAAGGTTAATTAACACCATCCAGTGTGACTGATAAAATGTCTTTTCCTTTTTATTCTTTTATCCTTGACATGTTTCAGTCTTATAGACCATCTTCAGAAGGATATCAATACAATTATAAACCACTATTACAATATGTTTTGTGAATATTAATATATACATACAATGTACACTCATGACTCAACCACCTTTCTTTCTAGATGGGTAACCTGCAGACATGGTGTTCCCCAGGGTTCTCTCTTGGGACCATTACTATTTAATGTTTACATTAACGACCTGCCAAGTACACTAGATGGTTTGGCTCATGCCATTCTTTACGCGGATGATACATCCATTATTGTTTCCTCAAAAGACATCACAACATTGAATCATAAAATAAGTAAAATAATGAATCATATCTATGAATGGTTTCAAAATAATCAATTAGTCCTTAATCTAAAGAAGACGCATGTAATTAAATTTACTATGCCTATGACCATGGACTATCCATTACATGTGGAATATAACGATCAAGTTCTTAATACTGATGAAAGTGTTAATTTCTTGGGTGTGTGCCTTGACAGTCATCTCAAGTGGAAACAATATTCGGATAATTTAATAAAAAAATTAAGTACTGCAATTTTCATGCTTAGAAAATTGCAGCCTACGGTGAGTGGACAAGTTTTACGTATGGTTTACTTTTCTCATGTGCAGGCTCAACTTAATTACAGTATCATTTTTTGGGGCTCTTCTTCATTAATGAAAAGTATATTTACTGTACAAAAAAGAGCATTAAGAGTCTTGTTAAGATTAGGGCCAAGGAGTTCATGTAGGGAAGGCTTTAAGACAACGGGCATACTTACTGTCCCCTGTTTATATATATATTCCATAGTCTTGTTTGTACTCAAAAATCCTGATATGTATCAGGTGAATAATGGCATACACAAATTAAGTACTAGGTGGCATAATAAACTACATGTTTCCTTTGTGAGATTATCTTCCATTCAAAAGAGTGTGCATTTTTCATCCATTAGAATATTTAATAACTTGCCATACAATATACATTCCTTGAAAGACAATATTAATACTTTTAAACAAAGGCTAAAAGATTATCTTATTTTAAATGCATTTTATTCGGTAGATGAATACATGGCATACAGGCAAGCATACACTATTGTTGTCTTTCCAAGATTATGTATTATCTAGATTTGTTATATGACTGCTTTTTATTTTATTATTGTGTTTTTATTTTATAATTCTTGAATATTTTAATTGTTGAGACTAGACTGCATTTTGCAATGTCATTTTGCTGACGAATTCAATAGCCAGTCCGGTTTCCAGACAATGGATCTGTGAAATTATGTATCTATGTATGTACGTATGTATGTTATCATAATACAATTAATCCAAATCTAATATTTTAACAACTACAGTGCTGTGTACTAATACATTAAAATATTTATAAATTACAATTAGTATGTTTAAAAAATGTTGTTACATTTTTTAAACCAAACTGGTTCATGTCCTTTTTATTTCCTCTCTTTGAAGGAAGCTGAAGTTATACCCATTATACATTTGCAGATTCCTGTTCTCCAAACAACAGAACCACAAGGTGGTAGATGCTCCACTTCCTTCAAAGAGAGGAAATAAAAAGGGTATGAACCAATTTTGTTTAAAAAATTAACAAAATCTTCTTAAACATACTAATTGTAGAAAGCCGTCTTCTGGGATGTGGCGCCGTGTAGAAATTGTGTAACAGACATATCAGAGGAACGTATCACCTTCATCTTCAGGGTAGAAGACAAGAAGAAATCTGCGAGCGAACCAGCAGAGCAACAGACTGTGTCCAGTCGAGTAAACACAGCTCTATAAGAGGAGAGAAGGAGTGTGGCTACATAGGGTAATAGTAGAGAGGGGGAGGGGAAGGGTCTGGTGGAATGGCCAGCAGGTTGTGGGCCACAGCTGGTATAGGGAATGTGTTAGGTGGAGAGAAGGGAAAGTTAAATGGAGGGCATTAACCCTGTAGCTCAGGGGCTGCGATGGACCTGAGTGGCCTATAGGGTCTGCCGTATTTTGGAGGTTACTTGAGGGAACAGATGAGAGGTTTCCATGACATCTATCCTGCTGATTCTATAGAGCGCAAGACTGTTCTCCTGAAAAAGTCCCCGATTGCTGAGGTCTGCCAACAGCTACAACCTCAAGGTTCAAGACCACCTAGACTCTACAGGTTCCCGAAGATCCATAAGCCTGACGTTCCATTAAGGCCCACTGTGAGCACTATTGGCTCTCCCACCTATCACTTGGCCAAACACTTGGCTGGCCTACTGAGCAACAACACTGGTAACTGTCCACACCATGTAACTCAATGGAATTTGTCCACACCTTGGGTTCTCTCCATGTCGATCCCCATGACATAATGGTCAGTTTTGATGTAGAGTCACTCTTCACCAGGGTGCCTATAGAGGTTACCATGGATCTGCTAGGACGATATTTTGAAGAAGATATCTTGAGACTCTCCCACCATGTCCGGACCACCTCATACTTCATCTTCAATGGCTGGTTCTATGAACAAACCGATGGTGTGGCGATGGCTTGCCACTGTCTCCGGTCATCACAAACTTATATATGGAGGACTTCAAGGAGAGGGCACTTGACTTGGCCCCACACAAGCCCCACAGCTGGTTTCGCTACGTGGACGACACCTTTGTCATCTGGCCACATGGGCCCAACAAGCTTAAGGACTTCCTGAACCACCTAAACAGTATCCACCAGTGCATTCAGTTCACAATGGAAACTGACACTGAGGGCCACCTCCCCTTCCTGGACATAGATATTTACAGGAGACCCGACCTTTCTCTGGGCCATAGTGTACCGCAAATCCACCCATACAAACCTCTACCTTAACACTGTGTCCCACCACCACCACCCTTCCAACAAGCAAGCTGTACTTTCTGCATTGGTGCACAAGGCTAGAGCTCTATGCAATCAAGACAGCCTACATGCAGAGTTGGTACTTCTGGGGGATGCTTTCAGGCAGAATGGATACAACAACCAGCAGATCCACACAGTTCTCAACCATCGGCCCAAAGACAAACCGGACTATATTCAACCATATTAGCAGAGTGCTGTGCCGGCACAACATTAAATCAGTGGGCCTGCCTCCAAAGAAATTATCTAGATTCCTCTGGCCAGTTAAATATAGCCTGGGACTAAGGACACCTGGTGCATATGGTACCCCATGCGAGTGCGGCAAGGTCTATATTGGGCAGACAGGCCATGCTGTGGACACGAGGTTGAAGGAGCATCAGTGATACATCCGTCTCGAACATCTAGACAAGTCAGCTGTGGCTGAACACAGCACTGATTTGGGACGCCGCATTCAGCTTCAGAATACCCCCATCCTCGCTACCAAGACCCGTTATATGGATCACATCATTAGGGAGGCCATTGAGACTGAACTCCATTCCAACAATATGAACAGAGAGGTGGGGTCTTGTCTCAGCAAGTCATGGAAGCCTCTCATCTGTTCCCTCAAATAACCTCCAAAATACGGCAGACCCTATAGGCCACTCAGGTCCAGCGCAGCCCCCGAGCTACAGGGTTAATACCCTCCATTTAGCCTTCCCTTCTCTCCTCCTAACACATACTCTATACCAGCTCTGGCCCACTACCTGCTGGCCATTCCACCAGACCCTTCCCCTCCCCTCTCTGCTATTTCCCTATGTAGCCACACTCCTTCTCTCCTCTTATACAGCTGTGTTTACTTGACTGGATGCAGTCTGTTCACCTGCTCTGCTGGTTCGCTCGCAGATTTCTTCTTGTCTTCTACCCTGAAGATAGAGGCGACATGTTCCTCCAAAACGTCGGTTAACACAATTTCTACACGGCACCACATCCCAGAAAATGGCTTTCTTCATAGTCACCGCTGTGAAAACCTCAAATCTTACATACTAATTGTAATTTATAAATATTTTAACACATTAGTACATGCCGCTGTAGGTGTTAAAATATTATATTTTGTATTCATTGTATTATAACACTTTATGTATATATTAATATTCACAAAACACATTGTAATAATGGTTTCTAATTGTATTGATATCCTTCTGAAGATGGTCTATAAGACTGAAACATATCAAGGATAAAAGAATAAAAAGGAAAAATACATTTTATCATCCACTCTGGATGGTGTTAATTAACCTTTATAATGATCTCTCACTGGTCACAGAAGGCTCTCTTCCATGGACTGCATAGCTTCCATGAATGTTTGTTACTGGTTACCATTTCCACTCTTTGGGCTGCTATCAACAGTGTTAGCACTTATGTAACAACCACCACCGCCACTACCACCACCATCACCACCACTCTGTAAGATATTAGGCCCTATAACCTGTTACAGTTTCATTGCATCACTTCTGTGGTCTTCCACCTATACATATTAAAAATGTCTCATGATGTCTTGTGTGTGCTTCTTCCAGATATGTGGAGCAGAATATTGGTAGAAATATTATTTCTGATATATCTCTACAGTAATTCACTGTCAACACCAAATTCTATAACCTTCAATGTAGGCATGTCATGCCCCATTGGGAACTACTTCTTATGAGCTTTCAAATGGACCCAAAATGAGCTCTCTAGCTCAATTATGGCCAGAATTATAACAATTTTACAAGCCATGTGATGCCACGAATGTCATTTCTTTAAATTTTTATGCTTTCACAAGTTTGGCAAATTACATTAATATCTGAGTGGATCAGGTTGTAAGCTGTGTTGATTAGGCTGACACAGTAGTGCCTGTGAGGAATTTGATGGGACAGCTACAAACATGTTGCCAAGTATCAAACTGACCAATGTAGTTTTGCTTGCATAATAAAAGGATGAAGACTATCTGCAAGTCAGCAGCTTTACTGAACAATGACACCATATGCAAGCCAAAAACACTTTACTGAACAACAGAGTTTAAGTGCTTACCTATAATGACACCGTTTGCTGATCGATAGTAACTTTGAGTAATGGTACGAAACCTTTCTTGGCCTGCTGTATCCCATATCTGCAGCTGGAAATAAATGCACAACATGAAACCATTTCTTCAGCTTAACAATCACTTTCTTAATGCACAAATGGAGAAATATGCAATAACTTCTACATGTTTGCTGACATAATCTGGAGACCTAAGCAGGCCTTTATAGCCTTAAGCTTTCCCATACATTAAGGTGTCTGAAATTTGAATGTTAATCAATTCACACATTTTGGTTCTCATTTTCTTCAATTAGTGGGGATAAACCAAAATGTAGGAGTTGGCCTCTCATTTCTATATTGCATTTTGTTTAAGAGAACTAGTCATAAAATTCTACTAATTTTACTATGTTGGTGGGGCCCATAAACCATAGATATTACTGACAGCTGTAACTGGCATCACAGATGAAATCACTGCTTTATATGTCAGATGTAAGTAAAACACTGTTTTCAGTACATATTCATAGCATCATCAAATTGTAATAAATGATGACACCACAGAACAACATGCATGCATCAAATTCTGTGTGCAGTTAAGGAAGCTGGTTATGGAAACCTACAAAATGTTTATATCTGCATTTGGAGACACTCTCTCATGCTAAGCAATTTGCACAATTTAAGCAAGTCAGGAAATTATGAAGCAATCACCTCTGGGACTTCAATTTTTTAATTCTAACTACTGATGAACAATAGCCAAAGAGTCCAACAGTTCTCAAGTTGGGAAAATAAACGGCATAAAATATTCCCTTCATTTACTTATCTCAAAAACTGTATGACTTAAGAAAAAAGTGTATGCATGGGCTTCAAGTGTGTTTCATTGACCAATACTAATACAAAAAAAGCTACTATAATTAATATACTGATGTAGCAGCAAGAGAATTACAGAAGTATAAGTAAGTTAGATTTAGTCGTGGTACAGGCGATCTGGTAGGTCAAGGGTGGCAGTGAGCCAGCAGATTATAGTTTTTCTATAAAATGGGAATGAGAATCGTGAATTTGAGACAGGACTTTTGTGCATAAGGCAATCATATGAAGAATAAGTAAACAAGCAACACAAAAACTATTCAACTACAAGAAGCTAAACAATGTAGAAGGTAAAGAAGAGTATCAGGTTAGGATCTCAAGCAGGTCTGCAGCTTTCAAAATCTTATATGATAATGTGGACACTGATAAGATGTACATAAGTCAAAAAGTAAAGCTATTCCTGTAACAGGCTGTGAAGGCCCATAGGGTTGTGAGACGTCGAAGCTCACATACTTTCTCTAGACAATCTGCTCACAGATGGCAGCAAGGTTATCAGCCTTACACGCTGACTGCCCTTTACCACCAAGAAAGATTCCTGGTACTCATTTCTGTTAGAGACTGAATCGAACCCAGGGCCATAGTGGGGCTGTAAGCATTAGGTCAATTGAAAAGCTCCACCTCATCAGGGCTTGAACCTATGACTTTCCTGCTTGCAGCATAGTGCGTCAACCAACTACGCTACCATGTGCCCCTGATGTACATAAGTGTTACAGACGATATCAAAACTTAAGCCAAAGAGAGTCTAGGTTATTACAAATATAAGCAGCAAAACTAACAGGTCAAAAGAAATATGTCACACTGCAATAGTTACAAGATTGAAGACAAAGCAATGGGGATAAAGTGAATAATGTAAGATCTTAAGCTAGCAGGTATTTCAGGAACAAACGGAGGGGACAAAATTAATAGGATTCAAACAAGAAGAACAAGAGTTTAGAGGCATGCATGAATTTAAGAAGGGTTACAGAAGAAACATGATGAAGGATGAGAAGGGTGATATGCTTGCAGATTTTCAAAATACTTTCAATAGGTGGAAGAACTAATTTTGTCAGCTACTGAAAGTAAATGGGANCTTCTTCAACCCTGAAGATGGGGGCGATACGTTCCTCCGAAACGTTGGTTAACACCACATATACACGGTGCCAAATCCCAGAAGACTGCTTTCTTCGGGATTAATGATATTAGGCAGACTGAAATACAGGAAAGCTGAGACATTAGTACCTAAACATAGTTCTCTGGAGGTTTGAACTGGAGCTGGTAAGTTGAAATGACTGTTTTACCCCCAGGGAAGGAGCCCCCACTATCCACTGGATAGGAGGTTGGGTGGACCCCAGAGCTGGTCTGGATGTGGAGAGGAGAAAATTCTGTCAATTAAAAAATCCAATGACCCCACTGGGAATTGAACACACGATATTCTGGCCTGTAAAACAATGTCTCAACAAACTACACTACAATGTGATCCTACTGTCAACTTCAAAACTAATGACATACTTCCACTACATCCCAACCTTGTTAACAGACCATATGTGTATATTACAAAACACTGAATTATTCCAGCAACCCCTACTCCCCAATCAATAGGAAATACAAATTGATAACAACTGAAATTTGGGGGAGGGGGATGCAATGATTGTATTATCCTCAAAGTAAGCTCATCATTAATTAATATAACAAATATCATCTAGTGCACCTAACGTTGTAACAAATAAAATAATCATAAAACACATATGTTTCAGCCACCTTTAGAGGTATCCAATTATAAAAGGAAACTTTAAATGAACTAAATAAAATTTACATAAAAATTTAAATATAAAGATTTCAAACAAATTCTTACATATACAGTTTAAATACATGATTTAATCATTATCTCCATATGTCAAATGCTACCCTCCCTAGGCCATGCCACAGGTCAGGCCACTAGTCACTGGCTTCCCACCACAGTGGCCTGGGTTGATCCCGGGTCAGGTCAGGTCAGGTCATGTGGGATTTCTTGTGGACAAAGTGGCACTGTGTAAGGTTCTCTGCAAATTCTTTGGTTTCCATCACCAACCATAATTCTGCCAGTTTTTTTTTTAATTCACTTAGTGGGGGGGTGGAGTCCAACTGGGTCCACTTGAACGGCGGCCACTGATTGGCCTATTGTATCTGCCCCAGGTGATTATGATGGAGAATTTGGTGGAATGAAGATTGGCAGGTAAAACCGAAGCACTTGGAGAAAACCCACCCCAGCGCCACTTTGTCCACCACAAATCCCACTTGATAAGACCCCAGGATCGAACCGAGGCTGCAGTGGGAAGCCAGCAACTAACCGCTTGAGCTATGGTGCGACCATTCTGCCAGTTACTCCATATTCATTAAACATACTATTACTGCGCTATATAGTATCCATACTGACTGAAAATTGTCAAGCACTGAAAATCTATGTCAAGGATGAAAGATTAAATAAGGAGAAACAAATTATCAGTCACACTAGATGGAGTTCATAACCTTTTATATTTTTTGACATTACCACTTTATTCTGTGTAACATAATATATCCTTATAAAATAAGATGGTTGCAAATAATTAAAAAATGACAATAATCATGACAGAGAGATAGATATTTCTACTAACTACAAGATACGTCATACATCCTTGGTTTAATACTATAAAGAACCTATGGAATCAAAACAAATTACAAATTCTAATTAATTTTGCATTTGCACTGACTTCACAATCACCCAATTTTATGCCACGTTTGCAACTCATTAACATAAAGACAAATTTCAATAAGGAGTTAGTTATTAGCCATAACCATATAGAATCATTAAAAAAAATGTATTATTACGTTACCAGGGGCAGAATATTAAATGATTTGCAAAGAATGAATGATACAAGTCAGTTCACTAAAATACAGAAGAAGTCCAGAAAGTAAGTTTTGAGGTTTTCACGGCGATGACTATGAAGAAAGTCGTCTTCTGGAGGCGATACGTTCCTCCTAAACGTCGGTTAAAACCAAGAATACACGGCGCCAAATCCCAGACGATGACTTTCTTCAAGTCGAGAAAGGTTCACAATTGACCGTATTTAACATTTGAGATACAATGCATCGCGAATTATAAAAATAACTGTTACAGGACTATCACCGTTCATCAGTACAAACCGTATGGTACAGATTACTCAACATCATTGCAAAATGTGAAAGCAACATAACCTTCACTTTACCATTCATTCAACAAACATTCAATATAACACGTGACCCTTCACTTTCATATACGTATTCATTACATTCATTATATCGTATTCATTAAGTATATGTAAAAAAATCCCTTCTTCCGAAACTAACCTTCACCTTCTTGCCATCAACAATTACAGTTTTCATTGAAAAATCAACTCCGATCGTATTACCGTGTCTTTCCACAAACGTTCCAGATTTGAACCTCTGCACAACGCAAGTCTTCCCTGCTCCACAGTCACCAATTAATACTATCTTAAATAAGAAATCAAAACTATCATCACCAGAACTAACTAAGCTATATGATGCACGACCTGACATTTTCACATCATTATCATTACTTCATGCAAGTACTACAAACGCCATATTGCAAAATATCCTGGCGCTCCAGCTTTTCAGAAAGATTATAGAACCTTAGCACAGATGATTAGAAGTACGGATCATTAAATTCTCATACCTAAAAGGAGTTATACCATAATTAGAAACAACGCACGACAAGGACAAGAAAATCAACAACGTTCTTTTTTCGCAGCGTATTCTAAAGCAATATACACGTAGAAAACATACAGTATTACTGCGAGAATCTAAATATACACATAGTTTATTTCGTTTATTTCCCTGAGGAGACCATACATCAATAGAAATAGACAGGGAATATAGTTTGTCTATTCGGAGTTTAACAGTTATGAATTAATTTCATTTTAGACCTTGAGACGTAATTGAAGACGGGCAACGTAATTGGTGTCAAGTCTCATCTGCGACCAACGACCAAATTTTTGTTACTGTCAGACATTTGCGATTTTGTCGATTTGGGGCGCCCTCTCTGACGAGAAGACGGATTTATCATTTACAATGGCCGTAGTCAATAGTAGGTGTAATCTATATTTACAACTTTACATGTAGGTGTTCTACATAGTCAGAAGCCAAGAGTCGTTCCTTGTGGATACATACTATTTAGAGTTTTACATGTAACTCTATTTAATATTGAATATATATTCAAATCAAGAACTACCCACTCCAATAATTACTTAGTAAACTCATTTAGCGGACCTTTCACCAAGATGAAATGGCAATGTGCTTCCACTCAGGAAATCACAAGAATTATTAAATTATTAAAGACGAAGAACTCGAGTGGATACGATGAAAGTTCTAATAGAATTATAAAAGTAAGCCTTCCATTTATAATTTCCCCATTGACTTACATTTGTAATGCAATTCTTAGTACTAGTGTTTTCCGTGTTGGATTGAAATTTGCTATAATCAGACCACTATTTAAAAAATGGGAAACTCAAAACGTTGCTAACTATAGGCCTATATCACTGCTAACTTCCTTTTCTAAGATAATTGAAAAACTTATGAATGCAAGACTCGTTAAGCATATCGAGACAAATTATATGTTGGCCCAAGAACAATACGGTTTCAGGTCTCATTCTTTGACGGAGAAGGCGGTCTTTTCATCGATAGATAGCATCGTACACGCTACGAATAATAAGTTAATGGTAGTAGGTATATTTTGTGATCTTCAGAAAGCGTTTGACTGTGTCAATCGTGTTATATTTTAGCGTCCTGTTGCACTGATTTATGTCCATGATTTATTCTGACCGTCTTACAGTGCGTACATTTATTCACCTTACTCTTCTCTCTTGCACTACATGTTTCGGCACTAAAGTGTCATCTTCAGGTGCTTTTTCGATGTACGTCGAACTACTGTATTGCATGCCCTGTTGTCTTTATACTAAAATAACTAAAATATATATTCGTCATATATATTGCTAAATTTTATATATTAAAAATGTTAAAACTGTTCAGGATTTGTCATCCTTATGTCGTATTTCAGTACGCGAGTCACACCTATCTTCTTCTGTCGGAGTATTCTTCCTACTTTCATGTGTATTGTGCTTTGTGTTGTGTCTTACTCCTGTGACTGCGTGTGTTATACTTCTGGGCCTGCTGGGTATGTGTGTGTGTGTGCTGTCTTCGTTTTGATTTGTGTGTCAATCACAAAATATTATTGGACAAGTTAATATTTTATGGAATAGAAGGAAAATTTAAAACATTCATACAATATTATCTAACAGACAGATATTAAAAAGTTGTAATAGGTAACAGATTTGACTGTAGAAGCTCTTCTGAATGGGAAGTAATTAAGTGCGGTGTTCCTCAAGGATCAATCCTTGGCCCGCTTCCCCCCCCCCTACTTTATATTAATGACTTACCTTCAATAATTAACAAAATCAATAATATAGTACCTTTTGCAGGCGACACGAGTACTATAGTAACTGACACAAACAAGCTAGATTTTGAAACTGGTCTTAATCAAACTCTTAAAGACATTGATGCATGGTTTAATGCTAATTTGCTTACTTTGAATTTTAACAAATCTCAATATGTTGAATTTCGTTCCGTGAATTATCATAACATTACGTCCAAACTTGTAGATGATCAAATTAAATTAATCAAGGCGTCATGAACAAAATTTTTAGGTTTAATCGTTGATGATGCCCTCACATGGAAACAGCATACTGACTATGTTATCAATACAATTTCAAGGTCATGTTACGCATTGAGAAATATAAAGCATTTTATTCCATTAGATTCGTTAAAGTCAATTTATTTTGCCCACATACATTTTATTTTAAGCTATGGCATAATTTTCCGTGTAATTCTCGAAGATTACATTGAGATATTTTGCGCTATTTACAAATGAAATGCTCCGTCCATTCAGAGTAAGATTGGACCGGATAGGACTTAGGCGGTCCACTTTTAGGAGAGAAGTATATCCCCTGAGTCTATTCCTCATTGATATTAATGTTCTAGCGCTGACGCCACGTCTCCATTGAGCTGAGACCGCGCTGCAGTTATATGAGAACAAAACACTCAATGCGATCCGTGTCACAAACGTCACAAGGTCACAAACAGGCAGATGTCATCGGTAGAGAAGGTTAGATGGATAGCAGATTTTAATGTGCAAATTAAAGAAAGTAAAGATAAACATATCCTGCACATTAATAATCTTCCTTGTCTTTAATAATCACAACAGTAATGTTTACCGAAACCAATGTAGTAAATCTTGCTACTATTGAAGCTTACTTGTATCCCAATATGTGGTGCTGGGCACTCACGGATTCTTGGGGTAAAGAACGTTACAGCGTAATATTGGACGAGGGCCACGCCATAGCTCAAGCGGTTAATCGCTGGCTTCCCACCGCGGCGGCCCGGATTCGATCCCGGGTATGGACAAATGGGATTTGTGGTGGACTAAGTGGCGGGTTTTCTCCGAGTACTTCGGTTTCCCCTGCCAATCTTCATTCCACCAAATTCTCCATCATCATAATTACCAAGGGCAGATACAATAGGCCAATCAGTGGCCGCAGTGGCCGCCGTGCCGACTGGACCTAGTTGGACTACACCCCCCCCCCCACCCCACTAAGAGAAGCGAAAAATATTGGAAAGTGCAAAATCAGTTGGGAACTTTCTTACTTCGCAGTTGTTAACGTGGGATGTAATCCAGGAAAGCTTGGGATTGCGGTGTAGGGTTTTGTTGTTGTGAGACGACGTCTTTCCTTTTAAGTTAGTAGAGTTAAATAGTAGAGAATATATTATTTTATAGTCTGTAGCAAGGATTTTTAATTGTATATGTCAGAATCACAATATGATAGTGCTGCAGCATTCCTAAATTTATATACTTAACCTCAACATGAGCAATTTAAGACATAACAAACCTACGTATACATTCAAACCGTTCGTATTTGTGAAATGTGAACCGAACATTACTGGAGGCCGCTGTCTTGTTCCGAAAGCAAGAAGTGGGCATCGTATTGTATGCGACGATAAGAATCTCTACTCGTATGGTGGATACAATCCTTTTACTAGTATTAATCATGATCCAGAATTAAGGAATGACCAAGTATGGTTAGAAAACAGGCCTTTGTTCAAAGAGCTTTGGAAGTACAATTTTGCCTCCAAGAAATGGAAGAGACTGCTATGTAATGGGACTATTCCAAACGAACTAGCATCTAGTGCTGTGATTTCAAAGGGAAGAACAATGATGATTTATGGTGGGACAGGATATCCATTTGGAACAAAAAGTAGTAATCAACTTCATGTATGCAATCTTCATGAAGATTACAAGATGCAGCTTGTGAATGTTAAGGGCTCTTGTCCTCCAAAGCAGTATGGCCAAGCATTAGTTCTGGATGGTATCCATTTGTATACTGTTGGAGGTACCACAGGTTTTAATTATACTGCTGATGTTCATCGATTAGATTTGAAAACATGTGTTTGGGAAGAGGTGTATATGTGCACAGGCAAAACATGGAAAGAGCCACAAGGAAGATATCGTCATGAGCTTGCATTTGATGGGACACGAATCTACCTTTTCGGGGGTGGTACAGCTGAAGTAGTGTATGGCTTCCAGGTAGTGTATAAATTATCATTCTGGTCACTTTCTTAAAATGGGTTACAGCTTTTCTGATAATTTTTATACCAGTATTTTCATAGTTCATATTTTTATATTGTAATAGTTATTATTTATGACCATTAATTTTGTCACTGCCATTAACGCTTTGTATAAAGGTCAGAGATATACATTCAAATAAAATACAAAATTTGTTGTTCATATAAGGTTTCTCAGTGAGGAGTTCCACTGTATTGATCAATTTGAAATACTGTGTTAGCAGTTTAAAATGAAATGTTTTTATTTGTTACTGAAGGAGATTCCAGCCTTTAATCTTGTTACTGGCTCATGGGAAAGCTTGGTGACACGCTGTGACCCAGAAGCACCAGCTCCAGGCATTCCTGAATCAAGAAGATGTCATGGGTGTGTTCAGGTCTCAGGTAGTGCGCAGCAGGAGGTAGCAGTATATATATGTGGTGGTTATAATGGTACTGAGATGTTTGATGATGTATGGAGACTTGGACTGCAGAGTTTACAGTGGACTCAGATGAAATTTAGTTTGCCACATGCAGTCTATTTCCATTCGGTGGCAGTCACACCAGCAGGTTGCATGTATTCATTTGGAGGTATTACAGGAGAGAATAATGGGAACAGAACTGCTGATGTGAACTGTGCATGGATGTGTATACCAAAATTGACAGAAATTTGTTGGGAGGCACTACTGTATTATAATCCAGATCTGCACCTCTTGCCTAAAGATCAGCTGTTACACTGTGGTTTACCTTTAGAATATGTAAATCGAATTGATTAAATATTGTATAGAAGAGTTCATTTCTGTCCTCTTCCAGTTGTAAAGATGTACACATTTTTTTGCTTAAGGCACAAGGTTTGTGTAATTCTTAACTTTAACAAAAAATGAATTAGTTCTGAAAATATAATTTAATATTCCTGAGAGTTGTATTGCCTAGGTGATAAGTGAAACATATCTGTCACTATCTAGTGATTTCAGTTGGACCAATAGAAACATGTTACATATTGCTATGAGCTGTGTCATTTCTCATGACCCTATTCCTTACCCCATAGAAGTTCTTGCATTTTGTTAAATATGTATTCAAAGATCTCTTAATATATGCATATGATTCAGACATGTTACAGCTCCTACAAATTAGGAAGGTTCACTTATGAGAAAAGCTACACGGGCAATTTTTGCTTTAAATCTAGTTAACATGTTCTAAACAAGATGGAAAATAATCACTGGTCTGTGTGACTTCTGAGCATATCAGGGATGTATGATGCCCACAGAACATACCAGGCAGAGACTACAGAACTATTATGCATACACCATCGTCAGAATCCTTTCAAGTCTACCAGTCAAAGACTGTTTGGTAAAGCAGGCAGATTTGAACTATGGCGTGATTAGCCTATCAGGATTGTTAAATTATACCTACTATTAACCTGTTATTAAAGGTAAAGGTAGATGTTATTCACTGGGAAAAGAAGACTTCTTTTGCTGTCACTGAGTAAAGAAGGGTTAGAGAAAGAATTTACATACCCAGGGGGAGGACGTCCAGCTCGACTTCTTTTGGGCAGTGAGAAGCAGCAGGGACGCTAGGTCATTACAACCAAGAGCAAAATGCTGAGCCAGACAGTATGTCTTTTGTCGGCAAAGATCTGTTCAACCAATCAGCCAGTTCACTAATGTGAACTACTTGGAGAAGAGCAATCCACCTACACCAGATGAACATTGATTTAAACAAGCATATTTGCACTTTCATTACTAGATTCACATAGTTATCCTTTTATTGTTTTTGCTTTTATCAGTATATGAACAGGAGCCTTTTATTTGGTTAGGGATCTGAAGGTTTGTAGGTAATGTTATCACAACCTGGGCACTCCTATCCTAATCCTACCTTGGACCATAATAATAATGTGACTTATTATAGTATGTCCAGCTCTGTGCAACAGCTATAATGGGAACGCATACTTCCGCGACAACAAATGCATGGAAATTGTTGAGTTCCCACAGTGACAAATCGAAGCCAACACGTTACAATATTATACAAATAGAATAGTCCTAACTTTTAGGATAAGGATGACAAACCTTTTTGCTGTCTGGTGACATATCAGAAGTTAGTTATCAGTATGGATTGGTGTCAGCTGACCTTGTTCTGTATCACCTGGTGAGCTTAAAGAGGTATCTGCTGTTGTGCTTCTTGGCTTCTGTGGTTGTTTTGAAAGCAACATAAACAGTACTCACTTTATAGAGTGCTTCTAAAATTTCACATCATGTTTCTGAGTTGAGAATAGTTGTTAAATTGTTTTTGTGTAGCCGTCTTACACTATGTAAGATTTGAGGCTTTCACGGCGGTGACTATGAAGAATGCAGTCTTCTCACATATACACGGTGCCAAATCCCAGAAGACTGCATTCTTCATCGTCTTACACTAGTTAATGTTTATCGATATCTGGAATAGGAATAAGAGGAAGCAATTTTTATTGTTTGCATCCTGTTTCATGAATACAGTGAATAATATTAATTTTACTAATTCAGCCATCAATGCAACAAATGTTTAATTTAAACCACACTACTTCTTTTGACCCTTAATGGGTCATCTTCAGATGCTCTTGGTTACACGATTAATTATTCAAATATACAAACAAGATAATGTGTTACAATCCAGTAATTAATTATGTAACTAAGAGCACCTGAGATGACCCATTAAGGGTCGAAACATGTACTATGGTTTAACTTAATAAACAGTTGTTGCATTGATGGCTGAATTAGCGAAATTAATATACGATGAAACTGCCCCTGTGCTTGTTTAATTAAGCATCATGCTATATGAAGATATATGGGGGAGTGGACATAATAGCTCCACACCTGTTGACTTTGACACTAGATGGAGTTGAGTATTCAGCTTCATGCCCTAGGGAAAGAGCCCCCAGAACCTACTGAATAGGAGGCAGGGTGGGCCCCTGAGCCAGTCCATGCTGGGAATTGAAACCCCAGCTATCCACAAACAGTGCATCCCTACACTGACTGAGCTATCCTGGCTCCTGGTATTTGGAATGGGTGTATGAAATAACTATATTTTATGAGAAGGAATTATGAAATATAATGTGGCTCCGTATTTTAATAGAGACAAAACCTGTAATCACCAGTGCCAATGACTTATCTCTGCTGTAGAATATCAGTAGTGCTGGGTGCCCAGAGTGCAGGTTGATTGGATATTGATTTTACCATCAGCAACTTCATGTGGAAGTGCTGAACCACTTGCCGCTGCGCAGCTAGAACTGCCAGCACACATTTTTTATTTACTTACTCATGGAGATGAGCCCTTCTGGAGGAGCTGCCAATTCTACAGTTACTCAAGAATTTCCCAGCATTTTATGGAACCCAAAAGGTTAATTACTGTGTTCACAAGAGCCCTCCACTGGTCCCTATCCTGAGCCAGGTCTACCCAAACCACACCATCCCATCCTGTCTCTAACATCCTTCTAATATTGTCCACCCACCTATGCCTTGGTCTTCGCTGTGGTCTCTTTCCTTCTGGCTTTCCCACCAATATCCTATACGCATTCGTCTCCCCCATTCGTGCTACATGACCTGCCCACCTCATCCTCCTTGACTTGATCATTTAATTATACTTGGAGAAGAGTACAAGTTATGAAGCTCCTCATTATGCAGTTTTCTTCAACCTCCTATCACTTCATCCCTCTTCGGTCCAAATATTCTCCTAAACACCCTCAGTCTGTGTTCCTCCCTTAATGCCAGAGACCAAGTTTCACACCCATACAGAACCACAGGCAAAATTATAGTTTTGTATATTCTAATTTTTATGTTTTTGGACAACAGACAGGAAGACAAAAGGGTCTGGACTGAATGGTAGTAAGCATTACTCAAGTTCAGTCACCTCTTAATTTCCTCCTGAATCAGGTTTTGATCTGTTATCGTTGTTCCCAAATATCTGAACTGTGCCACATTTTCAAAACATCTGTTTCCTAGCTTTATGTCATGATTTTGCCCTGCATTTTGGTGACGAGACAGCAACATATACTTAGTTTTCACTGTGTTTACTTCTAGACCAAACTCTTTACTTGCGTCAATTAAGTTTGTGTGTTTTTCTTTATGGTATCTACATTATCACCCAGTAGATTCACATCATTATTTACTTCTTTCATTAATTATTAATCTAATACCGTAAAGCCCATTAGTGTGTGTGCGACAGGGTGGTCCCCATCAAGAGAAGTAATAAGACAGAGGACACTAACTTACTTGGTTTATAAATTTTAACAAAATCTTAACAAGCCAATTTAAAAAAAAAAATTAATACATTAAGACAGCCACTGTAGTTGTAAAACTTTAGACTTTATATCCAATTGTATATTATCAACATTATATGTATATTTTAATGCTTTGAACGTATTATATTGTAATAGTAGCTTCCAACTGTATTGATGTCCCTCTGATGATAGTCTCAAAAGACCGAAACATGTAAGGGCATGAAGAATTGAAATAAGAAAAATCTTCACCAGTCGCACTGGACAGAACTGTTTAACTTTTTATGATGACTTTCAGTTTGCCATGCGCTTCCGCAGTATATCTTGTTCTGTATCCAAAGGTACTAACCTGCTTAGGATTTATAGAATGTAAATAAATTCAATTCAATTCAATATGCGGAGACCATGCACTGAGAAGTTCCATGAACGTCTGATAAGCCTGCACAATGAACATGGTGCATATTACATAAAACTATAAACCCCAGACATTCTGTGAAATGTGGTGACAAGTTTGTGTGAAGGTATCACATGCCATGAAGTGGATCAATATCACCACATGGGTGATATTCCCTAGCCACATTACTTGCCATAAAATGTTAGTAAAAATGATTCGTCTTTGAGGATTCTGTAGTGTACATGTAACACCTCTGATTTTTTGTTAATATCATTACTACAGTTATTATGTTTCTCGACATTAGCCATCAGTCTGCTTTTTATTTAAAACATACGTTTTGGAGACTGGATTCTGTCTCCGTCCTTAAATTAAACCTACTTAGTTGGGCTCAGTTGATAGAGCTAGTCAATGTCTCTGAACACAAGATAGGATATATAAACCAAGCACAGCATGAACCAACTGTGGACAGTCATTAAAAACATTAAAAAGCTCCATACACGATGCCTAGCACCTGAGGACATGCACTATTTCATGGCTACTACTGTTTAAATCAGAGTACTATCAGAATATAAGTCATCACTAAAATACATTCGCTATATGATACCAACATAAAAATACAACTTTCACTCGTACTCCACACTGAGCAGATTCGGTGTTTTCTTACTTCTGTTGCAATAATGGGAATCCAGATGGGACAGATGTCCAAGCTAGGTTCACTGAATGGATAATCTACCAGACATCGGTGGATTCCCTACATTTCCTGTAGGTGGTGTTTGGTTCAATCTGCAAGACCTTCACTTCTTTCAAACACTCTGTGGTCTTCATATGCATGTTGGGCTAATTTTGATTTTTCAAGCAGACCTTGGGTCAGGACTATATTTATGCTCCTTAATGGAAGCTTCTAAAGGTCTGCTTGTTTTGCCAGTGCAGTATCTGCCAGTCACATAGGATATGTACACACACATTGCTTCATTTGCTGGGCATCTCTAACAGGTCCAGTTTTTAGCAATGTCCCATGGAGTATACATGTATGTTTAATTCTGAAAATGGTCCTGAGACTGAAACATTTTCCAATGCATCTGAATTTCTGGGAGATTCCCTTAACGTATGGGATAATGGCCGTGTCCTGGCATATTGTGTCTGAAGAAGGATGGTTGCTTCTAGATGGCTTCATTACAGAGTTGACAAATTCTTGTGGGTATTCATTAAGCATCAAATCATGTCTAATGTTCCTAACTGCCTTGTTGAAATCTTTCTGATCCTGACATACTGACCTTGATAACCGATGAAACTATGAATGACTCCCTTTTCATGTGGCATGGGTTGTAGTTCTTGAAGTGCTGATAAAACATGTCTGAGTTGATTT